GACATAAGTTGTTCTTTCCAAAATTCATTCTGTCAAACATGTCAACCTCTCATCCTGGAAACATTTCAGATATTTTTACTAAGAATAAAAAGAGTTGGTAAAAAAGCTGTTGGGAAGGCATAGCTGCCACCTGAGGCAAACCATTCATATATACACCTTATCTAACATAGTGACAGTTTCATCCTTGCATATTAAACAATAGTCATCCTAGAACAGTGAACAAGGCTAATGTGCCAAGCCTGGTGCTATGAATGAAGCATAGTCCTTGTCCTCAGAAGACACCAAAGTTTAAAACCAAACATGGTAATTTAACTCTGGATCTCTCCATCCTCCTGTCCTCTTCATTCCCTCATTCACTCATCCATTCATTTAGTAAACTTTCTTGGGCATGCACAGTTCATCAGGCTCAGTCTCAGTTCCTCGGCATATAAACCAACAATTACAGTACAAGTGCAATGACGGAAGAGTGCAAAGCACTCTGGGAGTGTGGAGGAGTGGCACATAATCAGGCAGAGCTGAGGGAGCAAGGGGTTTCCTGGAGGAAGGGACTCCGGAGTTTGGTTCCTAAAACTTTGAAGGAAATAGTCAGGCAAAGCATCACAAGGAAGCATCCAGACTAAATTTCTCTCCTAGGTTACTTCACCTATAGCTGCAAATATAATTGCTTTTCTGGAAGCACCACGCTTGCTCAGGAATGAGGGAAAATGTTATAGAAGGAATTAAGGTTATATTTCTTGATTTTCTTTTCACTGGACTACATGGCTTAACAACAGAGAATAATGTATCTTGCCCTATTGTATTTTTAGTCTTTTGCTGTAAGTAGTAAGTCCAAGTAAAATACGTAGCAATGGGATTATGGGATTCCTAAATTCATCCCCAGGATATTGCTAAATTGAGAACTAGTCATTTCAAGAAAGAAGAAAACATTGCAACTGTAAATAGACAGATAAAATGCAAGCTAATAAATTTCTTTAAACTTTTCCTTTGTGCTATTAGCGTCATATGATATATCTCATATAATTGGAGACAGGCTATAGCTAAAAGTGTGGACTTTACAAAAAAGAAATTCCTAGGTTCAAACCCCAGCTCTGACAGCTTTTAGCTGTGTGAACTAGGCAAGTTATAATGGCTGAATAGTAGCCATCATATAAAAATACCAAATGTTCTTACTAATTTCTTTTTTTTTTGAGACACTTAGGTTGTTTCTCAATGGAGAGTATTAGTAATAAGACAAAAATCAATATTATCATACTAAAATCTTTGTTCCCCTCTCTGACAGAATAAATTTTTTTAAATGGAATTTCTAGGTTAGAATTTATATCTGTTAATAGTTTAATACCTCTAGGCCAGTTTCTTCATACATAAAATGAGATGGATGATGATACCCACTTCACTGGATTATTGTAAGAACTAAATAAATTAATAAGAGGGAAACTGCTTAAACAAGTGTTTGAAGCAGACTTTCTGTCCACTTTAAATCAATGACTAGTAGCTTCCTCCAGGGGGATTTTGCCAAGTTCCACAGCAAGTCATGTTTTTCAGGTCCTGGAATACTGCCAGTATGGAAGAACAGGAATGGAATGTAGTCGGAGGATCACATCCAGGTCACTTTCGGGATTCCACATAGCTCCTTGGTGAATTTATACTGTAGTTATACTTCTCTTTATAACAGACATTTGCACAACCTAAGAGCTAAAGGAGTAGGGAAAATACAGCATCAAATCCACTTACCCCACACCATGTCCCATTCAAACGTTCACAATCATCTTTGCCAGTTTCTTTACTTAGTCCTTATCAGATAGTACCCATGAGGTTTCTTCTATCTTATCGAGCCAGTGACTGTACTGAATAACTCACCTCTTTTCATGTGTGAGCATTACTTATGCCCCAATTTCATTTTTACCTTCCTCTAAGCATAGATTCTTTATCTTTCTAATTCTGATATTATAAGCATTGAAATAATACATCTAATTTCTCTGGGAAATTATGAACAAATGAATAGGAGATATGACAATCCTGAGATAAAGTTGGTCCTGCTTATTTTGGGGGATATTTTCTCATTGTTGTATCGGGGAAGATAATTCATCATTTGAGTGTGAACAATAGGGTCATACAGCTGTTATCTAAAATGCCACAGGATTTATCTAGCATCACTTGTAAAAACAGAAATCTATATGGCCAGCTCTGCAGTACGAAACACATCACACTGGATGTTCTACCCAATGATGGTAAGATCCCATAGGGGAAATTAAATGCCATGAAATGGCCTTAATCATGGGAATTAAGAAAATTGTTTTTCACAAACTACATAGCAGAATCAAAACTATGGTAGGAAGGAGAGAGAATAGCATCTAAAAGGCATAGGATGAGGTCAGAGATCTGAATGCACTTTATGGGTGTGGTGGTTAATTTTATGTGTCAACTTGACTGGGCTAAGGGATGCCCAGGTAGCTGCTGAAACATTATTTCTGGGTGTGCCTGTGAGAGTATCTCTAGAAGAGATTAGCATTTTGAATTGTTAGACTAAGTAAAGAAACTTAGTCTCCAATCCAATGAGGGCTCAAATAGAACATAAGGCAGAGAAAGACCAATTTTCCTCTTTCCAGTCTTCATGAACTGAGACATTCATCTCCTCCTGCCCTTGGACATTGAAGTTCCTGGTTCTCACGCCTTTGTGCCTTTGGATTCCAGGACTTACACCAGTTCCCCATCACACCCCCTACCCTGGTTCAATTACAACAGAATTGCCTTGTGACAAAGTCACTGGGGGCGGAGGAGTATAAAGTCAGTGTTTGTGTGTATGCCATCTTTGTCATATGTGTCTCTTACACAGAGAATTGAAGTGATTGTGGAAATATGCCCCTGAAATAACAAGAAAGATCACAGGATGCTACACAGGCAAGAGTAGCAAATTCAGGAATACTGTAAATACCAGGATTCTTCTATACATGTACAGATGGCCCTTGACTTACTTTTTTTTGATTTTATGATGTTACAGAAGTGAAACGCATTCAGAAGAAACCATACTTCAAGTACCCATACAAACACTGTTTTTCATTTTCAGTACAGTATTCAACAAATTGCGTGAGATATTTGTTACCTTACTAAAAACAGTATTTGAGAGATGATTTTGCCCAACTAATCATTTATATCATAGGCTAGTATAAATGTTCTGAGCACATTTAAAGTAGGGCAGGCTAGGTGTATTAAATCCATTTTCCTCTTACGATATTTTCAACTTATGATGGGTTTATCAGGATGTAACCTCACTTTAAGTCAAAAAGCAGCTGTATAGCTTTATATCCTGCTTTTCTCTTCAAATATTTTATATAGGAATTCCCACATATTATTAAACATTCTTTGAATATGTGGTTTATAATGGCTGAATAGTAGCCATCATATAAAAATACCAAATGTTCGTAATCATTTCCTTTTATGAGACACTTAGACTGTTTCCTACTGGGGAGTATTAATTTTAAGACTATGATAAATATTGTCATATCAAAATCATTTTGTGCATCTCTGACAGGACAAATTTTTAAAAAATGGAATTGCTAGGTTATAATGTGTACTATTTAAATTATTTAATTCTAACAACAAACTCTTTCAAAAACTAGATACTAGAAAAAACACAACTGACTCTAGATAAGTCTAAAATGTATCTGGCAGAAGCAGACGTGTTAGACAGAAATAGATTAGCCAAAAAAGTTTACAATGCCATGGGGTAGCAGTTAATGTGATTTGCAGAGGAAAAGAAGAGTGTAGGCCATTCTGGTGAGTCAATTAATTGTAAACAGATTTAAAAAGCTTCTGCTGCCTTCAGGTCTATAACCCTATCAAGTCATTTAGGCTTTCTAAACCTCAATTTGCTCATTTTGAAAACTGGAGACATTTCCCATGTTCATGCACCAGAATACTTAATATTATAAGCTTGAATGTTCTCCCTAAATTGGTATGTAGATCTGCTGTCAACCCAATCACATGCCAGACCAGCATTTTTATAGAAAAAGAATAGAAAAAGGATCATAGAAAAGCTGATTTTAACATTTATATGAAAAGACAAAGGACCTAGAATAGTCAAAACAATTTTGAGAAAGAGCAATGTTGGAGAACTCACACTACCTCACCTCAAGACTTATTACAAAGCTTTGGTAATCAAGACAGTGTAGTATTGACAAGAAGATAGACAAACAGGTCAATGAGCTAGAATTGAGAGGCCGGAAATAGATCCATACTTATAAAGCAAATTGTTTATGATAAAGGAACCAAAGCAATTTAAAGCAAAGAAAATACCTTTTAACAAATGGTACCGAACAATTGGCTATCCATAAAAAAATTTTTTTTTAAACTTAGACTCCTATCTGCACTTAAACTCTATTTCACACCACACACAAGAACTAATGTTAAATGGCGGAAAGATCTGTGGATAGGAGTTTGAGAACCTTGAAAGATAGTCTATAGGAATAAGCATCTGCCCTCAGGCATTAGACCCTCACTTACCCTTAAATGTATCAGGATAACTTAGCCTAGGCTAGGACCTGGCCTTCGGTCCTTCCACTCTATTTATTAAAACATTTAAAGAGAAACCTAAATTAAAAATCAAAAATAATAGTGCAATTTAAAACTACCTCAAAAGATCCAAAAATCTTTAAGATATACCATTTGAAACAAAAGTGTTAAAAGAGATAGAACAAGAAGTTTATGTAAACATGATAAATATACTTAAAGAGATGTAACAAGCTATTAGTAATAATAAGAATAAAAAATCATTAAAAATGAAAATATACGAGGTATAATAACTGAAAAACTACACCAAAGATGGGATAAAGAAAGGAAGGAATAGCTAAAGAATAAATTTGTGAATTAGAAAATCAGACAAAGAGGCAATCTCTCAGCAATCAGAAGAATAAAGAGATAGAAGATATACAAGTAAGCATATTCCTCCCTGTTCCCATTATGTAGTATCAACCCTCTCCCCTCAAGAAAAGCAAGTTACTTACCCCAACATTACTATAACTCCCTTCTGATCCACTGGCATGAGGAGTCCAAGGTGGCCAGGTGGTAGACCCAGCTTCAAATTCAGTAGAATCCTCACTTCGCTGGTGGAGACATAGTCCTTACTGGGAACGATGTTCTCTAACCTAACAGAGCCTAAGGTTAGAAGATAGGAAGAACAAATTTCACAAATAGGTCACTGGGGATGATCATGTAGGGATCACTCCTATTTCCTTGGTTACCAGACCTGTGTTTTCTAGCCATTAAGGACAGAGCACCATATATCAGTCCTTATTTCAATGCATATACCCCCAAACTGAGGACCATGCTCTAACCTTCAGATTGTGTTCTCGGATAGGGCCACTTAACTGAGCCTTTAAGTCCACTGCATCATTCAGCTAGCCAGCTGCTTCTGGGTGATGGGATATATGGTGGAACCAGTGAATCCTGTAATCATTGCTCTATGTCCTTTGCAGCAAAATTGGTCCCTTATCTGAGGAAATGTTGTGAGAACCCATATTGATAGATCAGGCATGCTGAAGTGTTGATTCATATTTGGTGTAGATGTAACCTCTGGTAAGGACAAATTGCTGCTGTTTTCCTCAACTGAGGGGTTAGCATCAGTCTCTGAGGCTGACATTCAGCACTGGCTAGATAAGCTCTTTGTGAACTGAATCCCATTCTGTTAGGTGTTTGCATACTTCTATTCCTGCCACCATTGAATGCCAACTTGCACTGGTACTGCAATAACCAGGAAGAAATGTTGGCTGACATCCACAGGTTTACTCATCTTGTCCACCTGATGGTTGAGATCCCCTTCTGCAAAAGAGGCTTGCTGAGCATCACCACAAGACAGATCTGCATACTGATGCCCACCATGTATAGGGCCCACATATCTCTTTCCCCTGCTTCCTTGTCCTCACTCTTCCCATTCTGGTCCTTTCAGGCCCTGAACAAACTAGCCAAATCATTCACCACTACCTATTTCTACCTAAGGTCACTTTTCCTTCCATACAAAGTGGACAATCAAGTGTGCTGCTCAAAGTTCTGCCCAAAGCTCTATACAGAGATTTTATACAAGTGATAAAGAAGATTATGGGAGCTAGCCCAAAACCCCTCCCAAGACAGTCCTGTGACCACCATTGTTCCGCTCTAAACTAATACTATTTCTTCAAAGCATTCATTAGTAGTGGAATCTCCGAAAAGAAAAGAGCCCATAGCAGCTTAAAGGGAAGTGAAAACAGGGCGAACTGGGAAGGCAGAATGTTATTGAGCATTCAGACATTGAGAGAATAACTCCTCCCCCAAACAAAAATGAGACCTTCATAAAGCATCAATTTAGTGTTTGATTAAATACAAGTTTGTTCCGTTTGTAATGATTTCATGTGCATTTGTGTCATCTCTCTAAGCAGTGTTTCCATCCCTTTGGAGTCAGGAAGTATATCTTACGCCTCCCTGTATCCAGCTTTCTCCGTTCCCATCACAGGGCTAGGATCACAGCAGCTACTTACCTTAGTTTTAAATAGTGTGGAACTGACTGATCCTCACTTAGGCAGTCCAGGGCTCTCACTCTCAGTTCTGTCACGATTGTGCTGCCTTGACTATTGATGCCCATGCTTCCTCCTATAAACCACCCTTCCAGGTTTTCAAATCCCTACTCATGAACCTTTCTACCTTTTATTTCAATACTGAGTAGCCATCCTCAACCAAGGTCATTTTAATTCCAAGGTCTATGTCCACCACGGGGGTGCCCATCTCTGGATGGCAACTCCAGTCTTGTTTGCTTGTCTCTCTCACACCATTTCTGTTTACTGACTGTTGAAGGAAGAGGCTGCGAGAGCTCCCTATCCCCACATACCCTGATAACAGAAATGAGTTATTCCACTGGCTGGCAAAATACTAAATCTTCCCTTCATGGATCCAAAACTGGGCTTAGTTACTCCTCTACTGTGCCCTCCACTGTTCTGATTCCACCATTGAGGACCTCCTGGAGAAATCTGGAATCCCTGACTCTGATGTGAAGTTCACAGACTACTTGTCAGTAACCCCCAGGGCATGGTTTCTATGGACCTAAGTTTGTGTCAGTCTGAAGATCAAGCTTGTCCCCAGAATGTCTCTCTTGTGTCCCCCCTTTGGGTCTTACTGAGGTTAATGAGCAGTCTAGTTCTGCTATTTACTAGTTGAGTGATCTTCAGTGAGTTAATCTCTCTGGGATTTTCTTTCCTGAGCTGGCATAGGAAAAGACTCATTTGCATTTCACAGGGTTATAATAAGAACTAAGTGATATAAGGAGTATGTGTCGCTCGGCACAGTGTCTGCTATTTGGTTAATTAATAGTTATTAATTAATTAATTCATAAGTATTGTTATTATAATAAGCATTGTTATTATAATTCTAGTAACATTGTTATTTACTCCACTTCATACTATAATACCTTCACCACCCATACAGACAGACCATTTTTCTAGCTTTGCAATTGTCTCTCTGACACCCATCTCTTTTCTACTCTTCCTACTCCTACATACAGTTGCTTAGTGGAGTTGATTTGTTATCATATTTTTTTCAATGAAATTATACTACACACTCTGGCAAGTTTTGAAATGCCCCTCCATCTTTTTCCCTTGTCTTGCACACCATCCCCTTCACTATTCACTTTGTGATTAACAAAATATTGCAAACAAACTTAGAGCATATGACAATGATGTCGCCTCTCTAAATGACCAGAAAGTATACATCCATTCACACTAACATGTCTATTTTTTCTGACTCACAGGGCTGTGTTTTAATGACAGGTTCATATCCCAAAATTGGGGTAACACCAAAAACACAACCTAATAAGCTATGCCACACAGTGCATTAGGAATAGGCTAATAGATGTTGCCAAGAAGAAACAAGAAGAGAAATGCTCTCTGCCTCTCGATATGCACTAAACAAAAAGCCAAGGTACTTTGCATTTTTCAGTAGAAAGGTCATAAGAATGGGTTAGCCCGGGTATGGTATGACAATGGTAGTTCCTGCCAAAGGAGATAGTCAAAGAAGCAATGTTAATTTCAATATCAATTACACATTGATATTAAATAAATGCAAGGTGCTAAACTACTGTGCCACCTCGCACCACTTGTGGTTCAGAAATTATCTTCATGGCTCTGGTCATGTCATGCCCCTCCTCAAGAACCTTCAACTGCCCCCCACTGCCCACAGGACTGACGCCAAATTCCTCAGTTTTCCTAGGCCCTCCACAAGCATGCCTGGGCCCTCTCACCAGGTGCACGTTCTTACAGTCTTCTCTGTTTCATCTACTTCGTTGAAATCCCACCATCTTCCAAGGCTCTGCTTCAACATCAGACTCTCCATTCCCACCTTTGTGGTGGAATACCCATGTCTTCTTCAGTCAGAGCTAATTTCTCTGTCCCATGCATTTCTATAACACTTTTGTTTGTTCCTCTCTTGTAGAACTTATTCTATTTCTCCCTGATTTCAAATGTTTAGATATGCAGCTTTGGTTAAGCCACCAATTCTCACTGAGCATAGTGCGTGTCCATGAGAAATGAACTCAGTAATGCTGTTGACTGTCTTCAAAATGGATTTCAAAAACTAGCAAGCACAATACGAGTGTAAAATAGAATCATGACTCAATTTTTACCCTATGAATAAATGGACATTTTCAGTGATTCCACAGATGATCATTCTCAGTTACATCACTTGGTTTAAACAGGCCAATGAGGCCTTAAAATGGCCAGTTAACCCTGAATCGTATAATTCAAATCAATAAATTTATATCAAATGAATCACATTTCATTTTATGTTAAGCAAATCACAAATAAACCTGTTTTGTTTTTTTTAAAACAATAACAGGTTAAAATCCCACCTACTCGGAAGGCTAAGGCAGGAAAATCACTTGAACCCAGGAGGCAGAGGTTGCCGTAAGCCAAGATCTCACCAGTGTACTCCAGCCTGGGCTAACAGAGGGAGACTCCATCTCAAAAATAAAATAACAGGTTAAATCAGCCTCTTATTTTAAAACAGCCCCATCACCATGACTAGCACAGCTAACTCTGGCCAAAGAACCCCAACATGTAATGTCCCAGCACGAACAGATGAGTAGATCAGCATAAATCTTTTCACACTGAATGGATTTTCCTACAAAATAGGGTTCTCATTGGAAAGCAGAGAAGTATATAGGCCAGGAGATTGCCCAAGCAAGGTGTGGGAGGATGGAGTCCTTTGTGGAATCAGACAACAGGTGACAACATGTGTGGAGGAGTGAGGATGAAAGTGACTAGAAGAATAGCAAAGCTCTCATGGATGTTATATATTATATGCATTTACGAGATGAAAGGCTATTCAAAATTTTACAAAGGTCAAATCAGAGCACCTTCATAAGCCAGGTTCCTCTGTTTCCTATGACTTCGTACTTCCCTACAGTGATTTGCTGCTTAATGATGGGCAAAGAACAGGACTAGCTTTGAGCAAATTATGAGGGATGCCAGAATGGAGTTTACTTCCCTTCCTTTTTCTGTTTTCACTTTCCTCTAGAGCTGTCCCCTCTATTTACTAACCTTTAAAAGACAATACCCACCTGCATTCTTCTAAGGGCTTTTCTCCCCAACCAATTATGCAAATTGGAGCAAATCAGACAACCTTAGTCATACATGTGTACATAAATAGCTAATAAATGTGCATATGACATCGCTCCTAGGAGAAAAGCCTTGAGGCTAAGAGATTAATTTCCAATTATGAAATTGCAACCATCCACGAATTGGGCAGAGAGAACCCTCCTATGACATTACCCCGCCCCTTCGCTGCCAAGAACGCCTTAAAGTTATAAAGCAGTTGCTGCCTGGTTGGCTTGTTCATGAAGATTCATACTTACCAAAGAATTCCTTGGTGCAACCTTAAGCTACAAAATTGTTGCGAAGAATACTTACATTTACATCTTAAATGCAAATACCTAGAGTGGAAACATGTATTTTTGATTTGGATGGAGGACAATATTTTTAGGTCCTCCCCTGCTGTTAGTAAATTTACAGAATTACAATACCCATAAGGAGCCAATAATTTTTTAAATAGTGATGTTAAACTGAGTATGTTCAGGCACCTAAGGGGTGTTACGTGCTTTACAAAGAACTGAGAATGTGGTTTTAACAAAATGTTTTCACCCCGGACACTACAAACGCATGTGCAGTTTCATATTTGGCTCCTGAGAATATGTCTTACAAAATAGGCCTCAAACCAAATGCCAAAAGATGACTGTCTCTCCTGCTATATTACTTCATCCTACACTGAGTTAGTTATTCAACAAATGACATTCAGTTATAGCCTAGAAAATATTTGTAGTAGAGACAGGGTTTCACCATGTTGGCCAGGCTGGTCTCGAACTCCTGACCTTGTGATCTGCAAAATATAAAACTTAGCCTAGTGTGGTGGTGCCTGTCTGTAATCCCAGCTACTCGGGAAGCTGAGGCAGGAGAATTGCTTGACTCGAGAGGCGGAGGTTGCAGTGACCCAAGATCACACCACTGCACTCCAGCCTGGGTGGTGACAGAGCAAGACTCTATCTGGAAAGAAAAGAAAAGAAAAGAAAAGAAAAGAGAAAAAAAGAGAGAGAGAGAGAAAGGAAGGAAGGAAGGAAGGAAGGAAGGAAGGAAGGAAGGAAGGAAGGAAGGAAGGAAGGAAGGAAGGAAGGAAGGAAGGAAGGAAGGAAAGGAAGGAAGGAAGGAAGGAAGGAAGGAAGGAAGGAAGGAAGGAAGGAAGGAAGGAAGGAAGGAAGAGAAAGAAAGAAAAGAAAAAGAAAATTAATAGTTTTGCCTTGTTTTGGTTTTGCTTCATCGTTTCCTGACTTCATTCATGAGGCAAAAGGAATGACAGCCAGCAGAGCAGGCCCCGTGGAGCTCCGGCACTTGCAAGCACTCACATCCTGCAGGAAGAACTGGTATGCACCTGTACACACACGAAAAGGCCACTGAGAGTCAAACACCACTAGCACTAATTCGTGAACTTTGGTGAGGTGTGAGGTATTATCGCAGGGTAGGGTTTCTTATTGTTGCTGCTGTTTACTGAGGTATAATTTCCACACAGTAAAATTAAACATTTTTAGGCACACAGTTCTCTGAATTTTGACAAATTTAGTGATGTGAGTACAAAAGCAATCAAAATTCTACCACAAAAAAAAAATTCTTTGTGCCCCTTTCTAGCCAATCCCCTCCCCTCACCCCCAGTCCTTGGCAACTGCTGATCTGGTTTCTATTTCCATTGTTTTTCCCTTTCTAGAATATTATATAAACGGAATCATACAGTGTATGACCACTTGTGTCTGGCTTCGTTCACCTAGAAAAATGCTTTTGAGATTCTCCATGTTGTTTCATGCATCAGTTCTGTATTCCTTCTTATTGCCAAACAGTATTGCATTTACAGACACACACTACAATTTGTTTATTCACTAGTTGAGGGACATTGGTTTCTAGCTTTTCATGATTATGAATAAAGCTGCTGTAAAAACTTGTTGATAGGTTTTTCAGTGGACATCTGTCTTTGTTTCTCTTAGATAAATACCCAGGAGTGAGATTGCTGGATTGCATGTTTTGTGTAAATTTAACTTTATAAGAAACTTCAAAACTGACTTCCATAGTGGAAGTCTAGTCCCACCAGTAGTGTATGATAGTCCAGCAACGTATTATAGCTCTGAATCCTTGTCAGTATCAGATATTGTCAGTTACCTTGATTTGAGCCATTTTATTAGTAATCCATGAACTTTCGATCTAGGCTGGGCCATAAAATTAAACTTTCTGCTAGCTATGTGTACTTGGTTGAATAAGCATCCTTCCAAAATACACATTCACCTGGAACCTCAGAATGTGATCTTATTTGGAAGTAGGATCTTTGCATATGTAATTAAATTTAGATGAAGGCATACTGGGTTGAAGAGGGCCTTAATCCCAATGACCAGTGTCCTTATAAGTAGGCCACGTGACACAGGGACACACAGAAGACAGCATCCTGTGACAGTAGAGGCAGAGATTGGAGCTATGCTGCAGCAAGCCAAGGAATACCAGAATCCCCAGCAGCCATTAGGGCCAAGCAAGGATTCTTCCTCAGTCTCGGAGAGAGCGTGGCCCTGAATACATCTTGATTTCAGACTTCTGGCCTCCAGAGCTATGTGAGAATACATTTCTGTTTGTTTTAAGTCACCCAGTTTGTGATAATTTGTTAGGGCAGCCCTAGAACTAAAACCCTATGATACAATTTACAGAATACAACAATACAAATAGGTTTATATTTGACTCATATGAAGCTTTCTGAGGATAAAAGCATAATAATTGTTTGTATAAAATTCATTCTAATTAGTTCAAGCATATTACTAGGAGCCTAATTTACTAATATGCATACAAATTCTTGGGCTAAGTTTTTGGCTATTCTATAATTCAACATTTCATTCATTGGACTGAACTTCTGCTAATGAGCCAAGATTAGTGAAGACCACTGTTTATCGTGAATTAAGAGCAGTGCAGAAGCACAATCCCAGTGGTTCCTATCTGTGGCCATTGAATATGTGAGACCCACATTTTGCAGAACGTTCTACAAAGAATTAGGAGATGAACTGTCTTTTAGTTTAGTCATTTGTGGTGTAATGTACTGGAATGCACCTTTAAAGATTTTTAATTGTAAAATTATGTGTTTATCTTCCCTACCATGATGTCTAGTTCTGAAAAACAAGACTTCTCTGGTAGAGACAGTTTTGGTTGTTTCATGAAGAACAGATCATATTTCAGTTTTAGCACAAAGCTCTTCTAGCCCCTGATGAAGAAAATTATCCAGCTCTCAACCCCTATTAGACTTCCTTGGGCAGGCAGAGGGATCTCCCTCCCCAACCGACCCCAAAACCTTTGAAAGAAAGAAGTTGGTTCTTCTGTTACACTATTATCCAATTATAAACCTACTAATTCAATAACAGAGAATAAAAGAATAGTTACAATCAATAGCATGTTGTGGTTTCTGCTACTAAAACTTTCTGAAAACCTATTGCAAATAGATACTGAGGCAATAGTAACACAGGAGGGCAGGTGCAGATGTGGGAGCAGGAATCCCACATTTTTACATTCATTCCTCTATACTATGTAAACCAGACTTTCTCCCCGTGAACAACATAAGGTAATAACAAGCCTACCAGGTGAACATTAGATGTCATTATATGGACTTCTGGGAGGAGTCTGGCACTCACTGAGCCTCTTATGAGCACTTTTCTGTGTTGTGCACTGTGGTTACCAGCTGTACCACGCCTATTTCACAGGAATAGCTGGTGAATACAATCATGACTTCCATAAAATTTGCAGAGCAAAGCAGGCTGTCATCCAAACAGAGTCCAAAAATGTTCAGTGATCCGAACAAAAGTCCGGCCCATTTTCACCACTCCCGCTCTGATAAGCATTCATTGTCCTTTGAGTGTTTTGGGAGAGCACAGAGTTGACCTATTTTGGGGGACAAGGACTTATAAGATTGGACCACTCTGTTCCAAGTTTGGGCAATTTCAAAGGATAGGGCTTTGGGGAATTGGAACAACTTGTTCAACTTCATTGTCTTTGGGTCTCACTAAACATAGAAACCAGCCTCCCTCTTAATCCCCATCCCACGTGTTGAAAACCATAAACTCAAGTTACCACGAATAAAAGGCCATGGAAGAGTGCCCAGATGCCCTTTGGGATGGGATGACCCAGTTAGGAGGTAGCAATGTTTGGGGTTGAGATTGTCCCTCTATTAGAAGCAGACAGAGAAAAAGCTATGACCAAAATGTTTGCATGGTTTAATTAAATATCAACAGAAATCTCTATTCACTTTAAAGCTCCAGCGCACCAGACAAGGGATCCAGGCAGGAGCCAAAACCACCTTTGCAGATATGCTCCCAGTTTCACCAGCTAATTAGATGTTAAACTTACATTGTAACAATCAACCTGATATTATTGCCTACTGCAGATAGAACTAAAATTGTAATTAGGTCAGAATTCTAGCTGGGATTGTGTAGGTGGACAAATTATTTCAGGATATTTTGATATCACTGCTATAATTTATGGTAAAGACAGTTGGGATCATACTGGCAAACTAAGTACCTGCCTATACTACCTCAGGCCTAAAAATGCCATTGATTACCCCCCAAAAACTGAGAAACTATCTACTACAGGACGGAAAAAGACAAAACAGGGGCACTAACACACCAGAAGCACTGAAGGCTTTCTGAAAGAGTAATCAGGCCTGATGTTTGTAGTTTTAATGTTTATTTTGCAAACAAAGGTAGAAACAGAGTCTGGAGCTCAGATGCCACCACCAGAAAGGGTAGCTGTTCAGCCTCTCTCCTGTGCAAATTAACCTAATCCTGAACCTGACTTGGGTTAATTCGCACAATTTCAGGTACCATGCTAGGTATACCACAAATATACCTCAGGGACCTCAATTGCAAAAACCTGGACCACAAACGTTGGGGCTGCAGAGTTAACTAGGTTAATAAATTCTTTCTGAGGTAAAGCAGGTAACACCCACCAATAAAAAGAATGAAACTTCATTGTCCCATTGGCGTCCTCTGGTGTGCAGGTGTTCTTCAGAGTAAAATCCATGGTGTGCCCCATCGCCGATTCCTGACAAGGCGGGAGGCGGGGGGCGGGGGGCGGCGGACGGAAAAAAACCTGAGATAAGAAATCAGAGAATACAAGGCTCTTTTAAACAAAAAACAGTGAATGTTAGAGTACACCCACCATTGAGGTAGCACGTAATAATCTCTCAGCATCACTGACTCCAGCACAGCTGGTCCCCTGGAAGAGGCAAGTTGCAGGAAGGTTTTGTGTGTGACCAAGCAATTGGCCACCCCACGCCTTCAGCCTCCCAGCTGAGTCCTGGCCCCCGCGGGTCCCCTCCCCCTCCATCCTCCAAACCCAGGCAGCGCCCGCCCCTGCCCCAGCTGATTGACAGGCCGTGCAGCTACTCCTGGGAGCCCGGCTTTCGTGCGCAACCCGGGCAGAGGGGACTATCTCTGCAGCAGCCAATAGGAGCCAGGAGGCAGGGCGCGGGGGAGCGGCGCGGTCAGGCGCTCCGCTCCAGAGTTGAGTGCAGGTGAGCTCCTGCGCGTTCCGGGGGCGCCGCTTCCTCGAGTTACCTGCCCGCCGTTAACCGCGGCGCGCCAGAGGTGGTCTCCTCCAGGCCCTCCCTCCCATTGCCCCAAATTAATGCTGACTGAACGGATCGGTGCGAGGGTGAGTCCACGGGTGTGGGTGGCTTCCCTCCCGGGGACCCACACGGCTCCTCTGGGCCCCTAAAGCAACGCCCCCTCCTTGCCACTGCACATCTGAGAAGCCCAAGCCTCGGTGGGCGGGATGACTGGGAATTGGGAACATACCCTACGCCGCGACCCTTCTGGGTGGCTAGGATGGAATCCTGGTGGAGAAGATGGACCCCCTGCCCTTGACTTCTATCCGAGCTACACAAACCTACTCCTTCTGCACTTTCCCTCTTCCCTTTAATTGGTGCCCCTTCCTTCTTGATCTCCAAGTCTTGTTTGTGGAGGAAGGGTTGGAGGGGAGAAAGAACTGGAAAGTACTCAAGGAAATCTGGAGCCAGATCCAGGGATTCCACTATTTTGTGCAGCATTTTGTGCACGAAGAAGAAAAAAAAAATCTGATTTTCATTCCCCACCCCCACGTATTTATTTCTCTGTGTCATGGATGTGATGTTGAGTCTTCTTGCCAGACATTCCTAAGCTTTAGACAACACTTAATCTTTGCTTACTTTCGTTGGTCCCAAGAAAGCAATTTTCTCCTGCTTACACATTTGCCGAATTAATTTGCTAAGATAGATGAAAATCAGGTGTTCCATGTAGTTTATTTTCTCTGTTTTTAGCTTTAAATTACATTTAGTTGATACTAGCCTTCCTTGTTTTAAAAAGGTGGGAGAGAAAATTAGGGGGAGAAAGGACAGAGAGCAACTACCGTCCATAGCCAGATAGGTGAGTAAATATATTTGCAGTAACCTATTTGCTATTCCCTGCTGCAACTATTTTTAATGTTCCTTCCAGAATCAGAGAGAGTATTGCCATCTAAGAAATCGTTTTTAAATATAACATTTGAGCCATCATCTTGAGAGCAATACCTAAAACAATTTCAGTTTATGAAATGTCTAAGTATGGTGAAAGCACAGTTTAAAACCAGCAAAACAATTTATTGCCCTCAGCCAATACCCACAATGTACATATACCTTGTACTCCTGAAAGCAAAGCAAGCATGCCAAGTAGTTTTTATTTACCTGCAGCTATAATACAGCAAGGCGAAACAGGATATATTTTTGAAGTTTAAAAATGTCTTCAGGCCGGCTGCCGTGGCTCATGCTTGTAATCACAGCGCTTTGGGAGGCCGAGGTCGGTGAATCACGTGAGGTCAGGAGTTTGAGACCAGGCTGGCCAACATGGCGAAACCCTTTCTACTAAAAATACAAAAATTAGCCAGGTGTGGTGGCGGGCGCCTGCAGTCCCAGCTATTCGGGAGGCTGAGGCAGGAGAGTTGCTTGAACCCGGGAGGCGGAAGTTGCAGTAAGCTGAGATCGTGCCACTGCACTCCAGCTTGGGCAACAGAGTGAGACTCCCTCTCAAACAAACAAACAAAAGTCTTCAGCTTAAGAAGATATCAAAAGCCAGTTTCAAGAGATTTATTTGTACAAGTATGGTTTGATCTAACTTTTGCTGGATTTATAAATACCTTCATGCAGGACTGGACAGAAAAAGGAGAGAACAAAAGATCCTTGCTGGATGAAAACTGACAAAATGTATATATCTATTGTTTATCCATACAGCATCTTATTAGCTTTCTCCAATAGAATGAAAGTATTTTAGAAATATACACAGATTAGGGGAAAAGTCCAACAACCTTGATTCAGAGATTTAAACCAGGGAAGTGCTTTTACTACACATATTAATGAAGAGATTAAATTTTGACAAATTTTAACATTAGGAAAGTCAGCAACAAATTTCAGAATTGTATTTCTGTTAATATTTAGTTTAGAATATAATTATTTAGTTTAAAGAAGGCTATGATTTGATTATTAATAAATGAATGCAGATTACTTTTCAATAAATATATCTGGATGTCACAAATGTCATTTCATTTCAAGAAACCAAATACATCTATATTCCTCTCTCTTTAGTAATACTTCTTTCATCTGTGATGAACCAAACATAGGGGTTGAAAATAGAAGTGTGCGTATACATATATATACACAATATATATATATATGCACCATTATTTGATTTGCTAATGATACTTCATGGTTGCTAGGTTGCCATAGTTGTTCTAGCCATAATGTTAAGTATGTTCACAGGTATTTGACTATAAAAAAGTTTCTGACCAGAAGTCAGAAATCTGGATCAAACTGAAAATGTTTCTAAAAAGTTTTATGTAAATGATGTCGTATTTTAAAATGCTGTTGAAGAGCTCACTTAAATAATTCTTTTAAGGGATATTTAGATAAATTATCAGAAGGGAAAAAGTTGTTTAAATGCAATTAAACTTATTAGCTTTATTATTCATTTAGCCCCAGGTCTCTTGTCTAATATGGAGTTCTGTGACATAATTCTTCCAGGCTGTGATTTATGATATAACTAGGATTGCTAAACACTGTTACTCTGAGTTTGGGGTAAAGTATACAAAACAAAATTATTGCCATTAATTTCTATGTGTTTATTCTACAGATTATTTTACACTGAACTGATCAAGTACTTTGAAAATGACTTCGAAATTTCTCTTGGTGTCCTTCATACTTGCTGCACTGAGCCTTTTAACCACCTTTTCTCACCAGCCAGACCAGCAAAATGTTCTACTAGTTTCTTTTGATGGATTCCGTTGGGATTACTTATATAAAGTTCCAACGCCCCATTTTCATTATGTTATGAAATATGGTGTTCATGTGAAGCAAGTTACTAATGTTTTTATTACAAAAACCTACCCTAACCATTATACTTTGGTAACTGGCCTCTTTGCAGAGAATCATGGGATTGTTGCAAATGATATGTTTGATCCTATTCAGAACAAATCTTTCTCCTTGGATCACATGAATATTTATGATTCCAAGTTTTGGGAAGAAGCGACACCAATATGGATCACAAATCAGAGGGCAGGACATACTAGTGGTGCAGCCATGTGGCCCGGAACAGATGTAGAAATACATAAGTGCTTTCCTACTCATTACATGCCTTACAATGAGTCAGTTTCATTTGAAGATAGAGTTGCCAAAATTATCGAATGGTTTACATCAGAAGAGCCCATAAATCTTGGTCTTCTCTATTGGGAAGACCCTGATGACATGGGCCACCATTTGGGACCTGACAGTCCGCTCATGGGGCCTGTCATTTCAGATATTGACAACAAGTTAGGATATCTCATACAAATGCTAAAAAAGGCAAAGTTGTGGGACACTCTGAACCTAATCATCACAAGTGATCACGGAATGACGCAGTGCTCTGAGGAAAGGTTAATAGAACTTGACCAGTACCTGGATAAAGACCACTATACCCTGATTGATCAATCACCAGTAGCAGCCATCTTGCCAAAAGAAGGTAAGGCTGACTGAATGGTGAGCTGAAGCTAGATGTGCATTTGCCCAGTGTGATCAAATGAATAGGGGATTTCTGTTGCTGCGCCTTTAAAGTAGACTTGCCTGTGTCATGGTAATATTCTGGGATTTAATCCTCAAGACTCTGAAAAGACAAAATCTCTTTTCTCAAAGCCTAATTTTTTTTCCTTTTTCCTAGAATACTGAAATTGATGCGCTCTATATATGTATGGCAGTAGGTTTTAACCATTTTGGAATCACAGAATATGATGAAAGCTATAGCCTCCCTTCTCAGAAAAATTGAGGTGGAGAGATACATACAAAACTTGAATACATGTACAGTTATTTCATAGAAGCCCCAAAGCCTTTTATAGACTCCTAACTTGGACCTGCTTAACAAGGAAGCTGTGGAGGATAAGAAGGAGGAAGAGCTTTGATCAATCTGAGGTTTATTTTCCTTATAAGTGTGGAAAGTGATAACAATATCTTAAACTTTTTACAAACCTCTCCTGGAATCCTCATACCAAACCTGTCACCTCAGCATTGTCTCCATTTTAAAGACAAGTAAATGACAGGTAAATGACCTCAAAAGGTTTAATATCCCGAGGTCACAAAATAAGTGACAACACGACTCAGGCATGCTCTTTGACATATTTTATCACCTTGCAGTGTTGGTCTTAGGCATCAAATGAGAGAGCAGATTTTGAAAAGCTATAATATCTCACAAATGAGAATTCCATCCCTCAGAGGGGAATTAGTAGAATCATATGAAACAGCGAATGTTAAACTATGCGTGTGTTTTACACACACAGTTTTCAGCAAACAGCCCTTTTTTTGTTGTTTAAGAAAATTAGCTAGGAGTGGTTGATCACGCCTATAATCTCAGCACTTTGGGAGGCCGAGGCAGTAGGGTCACTTGAGGCCAGGAGTTCGAGGCCAGCGTGGGCAACATAGCAAGACCCTGTTGCTAAAAAAAAAAAAAAAAAAAAAAATAGCCTGGCGTGGTGGCACATGCCTGCATCCCAGGCTGAGGTGGAAGGATTGCTTGAGCCCAGGAGTTCCAGGTTACAGTGAGCTATGATCGTATCACTGCACTCCAGCTTGGGCGACACGGAGACCCAGTCGAATGAAAAAAAGAGAGTCAGGGGGGAAGAGAGAGAGAGGGAGGGAAGAGAAGGGGACGAAAGAGAGAGAAAAGGAGAGAGGGAGGGAGGGAGGAAGGGAAGGGGAAGGGGGGAAAATTATGTTAACCCTTCAATTTCCTTTATAAAATTGGAATGTCCTCTTGTGGTGGTGTGGAAGGTAAGGATGAAACCTCAGCAATGGATCTGAAAGGCAGGAGAAGGATGAAAGACAATGCCCAGGTAACTGCATTTGTAGTTATAGGGAGTACTTTGGCAACACCTCCAGTGTTTTTGGATGTTTCCATTTTACAAACTGCTTTCCACCTCCAGTCTCTTTTCCCAGCCCTCACTCACCGCTCACCATGTTTTCTTGTCTGGAGATTCTTTGTGTCTGCACTTACAACTACCAGAACCTAGCTATTTTTGTTTGGGTATTGCAGTACCCTAGATATTTTACATAGTGTCACTAATTAATATATGTGTATATCGAAGTCTTTAGAGGTTCCTGGTTCTATGAAATGCCCTTCCTTAATTCTATAAGGTGAACTTAGAAGATTATTTCTTAGTTTCCCCTCCCAAAATTGTTTTCCCTAAGGAGGAAAAGAATTTTTTCTTTTGTTCAGCTCTGTGGCTTTTCACCTCTGTAGCAAGTCCGTTGCCCATGGTTGGTTGGTTGATTGTAGCTATGAGTATTTTGTTCTGAGTGCCTCTCCTCCCTTCTCTTTAGGTAAATTTGATGAAGTCTATGAAGCACTAACTCATGCTCATCCTAACCTTACTGTTTACAAAAAAGAAGAGATTCCAGAAAGGTGGCATTACAAATACAACAATCGAATTCAACCAATCATAGCAGTGGCTGACGAAGGGTGGCACATTTTACAGAATAAGTCAGATGACTTTCTGTGTGAGTATGTTATAGTATTTCTTTCCATTCTGCATCGCTTTTTGCTAAAATACAACAGTTTTAATACATAATACAGCAGTTTGTTGATTGGTATTTTTACTCTCTGTTACTTGAATGTTAAGGAACTACAGTGTTTTAGTACTTACCTAGAAATGCTATTTTTAGACATTGGTCCTTCATTTATAAAAGATATATACAAAATGTCCCTTAGGTAGAATTGGGTTTCTATCATGTTTATTGATTAAAAGAAAAGCAGGTGCCTGACAATGGCATTTGTAGTGTGTTCGTGACTCATAGTGGCAGATGTGTACAGATACATGGTTTCTGGTTCTTAAAACAGTTGTTACATACAGACAATGGTCCACAACCCAGTGTTCAGATTTTTATGTCTTGTGCAGGTAGCTCTTATATTAGAGGGATTGCTCATAAAAGGACTGCTATCTTTGGCAAGATTTGTATTTTAAAGTTAATATAAATTCAAAGGGCCCTCTAGAAATGGTTTGCAGAACTACAGTTACACAATAGATTGGTCACCTCTCTATTTTTTATAGAAAACCTTAATAATACTCCAATTTATATTACATTATGTTTAATGATTCATAATTAATTAAAGATTGACCACTGCATACCTAATGCCAGAATAGTTAAACCCTAATGCCCCAAAGCAGTGGTTCTCAAAGTGTGTTCCATGGCCCAGCAGCATCCACATCAGCTGAGAGCTTGTTAGAAATGCAAATTATTGGGCCCAACACAGACCTGCTGAATCTGAAACTGTGAGGCCCTGGTGAAACACACAAAAGTTTGAGAACCATTGCCCTTAGGCATTCATTATTAAATACCATCTACTTGATCAAGCATTTATGATCAGGGCTACCACTACAAAACAAAGTCCCTATTCATAGGAAAGATTTTACATAAGTCACAATGACTTAATTTTAAGTCTGAATTTCTAATAAGAAGTGCGATATGAGGTAATTATCTTTGCCTTCATGAGTGAGAGTCTAGATCCCAACTTCTCATAGAAATGAATGCAGCAATCATCCAATTACAAAGTATATAATGATATATTCCCAATGTGACTATTAATTAATGGAATAGCACAGTACCCTGTCAGATAATTACTAGTGATTCAAAAGTTCAGTGTTACTTTTACTTAAATAAACCTAAAAGAATCATGGCATCTAGAATGACTTCTTTAGATACATTTTGCCTGGTAGATTTCAAATTACTTTGAAATGACTAGGGGTCAGTTTATGACTTATAGAAAAACTGATTTAGGATTTTTTTGAGGGGGACAGGGGCAGGGAGTGTTACTATTGCATAGTACCCTGTAGCACGTATGGGTATTAGAGATGGATTTACTAGTCATTCTCGTTGCCACCTTTAAGATAAAGCCTGTCAGTTTTCTTTGGGTGCCATCTTAGCAGTAGCTCCTTCGCCTTGCACCTTGATACCATGCTAGGCACACATGCCTTTGACATCCAGCTATTATCAATTTCATATCCATTTTATGTCATTTGATACATATGTCAGAAGACCCCCAAGTTTTTACCTTATGTGTACCCACTCTAAAAGCACATAATGCTAAGTTGGATCCTGATTAGAGGCATCAAAATCAAGAGTTTCCTACTCTCCTCCACTCTGACCTTTGTTTTTTAGTAATAGATTATAGCTGTTAAGTACAGGTTTGATTTTTATGGTTTCTTTTGTTTTTTTTTTTTTAATGTATTGTATCTCCCCTTTTGTTGTGTTCACTGTGAGTTTATTGGCTTCAGAGTAAGACTAAGAGCACCTTTATCTCTTATCTTTAGAACAATCATTGGAACACAGTAGGTACCCAATAAGTATTTGCTGAATATTACTTTGCCACCAGTTAAAACAAAACAAAACTCTAATTTTTCCCTAACTTGGCTCTGCTTTGTTCTTTACCCTTCTTCCCCTGCTGTTTAAGTCACTGTTGGCCTGTGAGAAAGATTCACAACCATTTGACTCTTCATTTCCTGAAGAGAATTGTGATGTGAACAACAGCAGAGATTGTTTGTCAAAGATTATTTTATGTTTACAGTCAAACTAGATAAGATGTGCATTTAAGTTCAGAACTTGACCATACAACAATTATGTCCATTTTAATGTATAGCCAGCTAACTTTTTCACGTATTTTCTCTTTACAGTAGGCAACCACGGTTATGATAATGCGTTAGCAGAAATGCATCCAATATTTTTAGCCCATGGTCCTGCCTTCAGAAAGAATTTCTCAAAAGAAGCCATGAACTCCACAGATTTGTACCCACTACTATGCCACCTCCTTAATATCACCGCCATGCCACACAATGGATCATTCTGGAATGTCCAGGATCTGCTCAATTCAGCAATACCAAGGGCAGTCCCTTATACACAGAGTACTATACTCCTCCCTGGTAGTGTCAAACCAGCAGAATATGACCAAGAGCAGTCATACCCTTATTTCATAGGGGTCTCTCTTGGCAGCATTATAGTGATTGTATTTTTTATAATTTTCATTAAACATTTAATTCACAGTCAAATACCTGCCTTACAAGATATGCATGGTGAAATAGCTCAACCATTATTACAAGCCTAATGTTACTCTGAAGTGGATTTGCATATTGAAGTGGAGATTTCATAATTATGTCAGTGTTTAAAGGTTTCAAATTCTGGGAAACCAGTTCCAGACATTTGCAGAAACCATTAAGCAGTTACATTTTTAGGTACACACACACACACACACACACACAGAGAGAGAGAGAGAGAGAGAGACCAAAATACTTACACCTGCAAAGGAATAAAGATGTAAGAGTATGTCTCCATTGTTCACTGTAGCAAAGGGACAGATAAGATCCTGCTTTATTTGGACTTGGCACATATAACGTATATATTTAGTAACTTTGTACTATGTAAAGTACCTTATATACTGCACTTTAAATTTCTCTCCAGATGGGTACTTTAATTTGAAATGCACTTTATGGACAGTTATGTCTTATAACTTGATTGAAAATGACAACTTTTTGCGCCCATGTCACAGAATACTTGTTACTCATTGTTCAAACTGAATGAAATTTCTAATAATCCCAAATAATGAATGTAGAAATCTATCTCCATAAATTGAGAGAAGAAGAAAGTGATAAGTATTGAAAATTAAATGTGATAACCTTTGAACCTTGAATTTTGGAGATGTATTCCCAACAGCAGAATGCAACTATGGGCATTTCTTGTCATATTTCTTTCCAAAGAACATGATTTGCATTTATTTTTCCCCAAAAGAGAGTCAAGTACTGACAGATTCATTCTAACTATATTGTTTCTGTCATAAAATTATTGTGATTTCCTGATGAGTCATATTACTGTGATTTTCATAATAATGAAGACACCATGAATATACATTTTTTCTATATAGTTCAGCAATGGTCTGAATAGAAGTGACCAGGCACCATCTCAGCAATGTTTTCTCTTGTTTGTAATTATTTGCTCCTTTGAAAATTAAATCACTATTAATTACATTAAAAATCAAATTGGATAAAACAATGTTTGTTTTCTTTCTGGTAGCACATGATAACAGCACAAGCATCTTTTAGATTTGAACATTTGAAGATTCAAAGTTGCAAAAGAGCACAAGCCGTATTAGGTAAAATATTGGCCACTCAATCCTTGAAAAGAACTGTGTGGAGCCTGGAAAAAAAAATAGGACCACATGTGAGATGTTTAGAAGACACTCAGAACAGTGGTAAAGTGTGCATACTAGAAAAAGGCAGCAAAATAACTCTTTGTGGTAACAGGTATCAAAACATGGGAGCCAAGATGATATAGCCCTATTTCAAGAAATATGTGAATACCCACCTACCGGGTGCTCAGTGGAATCAAAGCTGAATCCAAGTTCACAAATAGACTTCTACTTCCAAGGTAGTACTTTTGACCTGCCTGGTCATCTCAGTCTTTTTCATTCCAACAACCTAAGGCTGAGCTTTAGATTTCTAAGCAATCAAGAAGTTTGGGAGAGGCATGGTATTACATGTGGCTTCTTAGAGGAAAGAGGAAGGCCTGAAAAGAAAGGCTTTCTTTGAAGAAAATAGCACTTTACAGACACTTGGATAGTATTGTGATTTCATATATATATATGCACCAACTGGCTAATGAGTAGGTAAAACTGTATAACTATTCCAGAAAGAAAGGACAAATTGGATGTGAAGAACTGAAGTAACATGGTTAAAAATTTAACCAAATTTAAGTGCTTCCTAAAAGTTGGTGAATGTCTTATTTTTTAAAATGATAATACCAGTAAGGAATGTTGGCACATAATTCCCATTTCATTATAAAACCTCTTAATAGAATAGAATCAAATAACTGGAAATGGCCTACGGATTAAAAAGCTAGGAAATTATATGGTAGGTAGCAAACTCCCCAGAAGTATGGACTCTGGATTAGACATCTCAGAATACATGAGCACTCATGTTGGCTTGCTTTTTAGCTGTGAACTTACCCTGTATTATTGAAATGTCAGCAAAATGACTGGAAGGTGAAATTGGTCCATTTTAAAGCATTACTATTATGCTGTCTGTCCGTTTAAATTAATAATTGCATTAAATTCATTTTAGAAGGTGCTATTACATTAGTAAGAAAGTAAATTCACATATGAATATTTGATTATCAGATGGTTTATTTACAGATACTTATTTTCCTATAAAATAGGAGAGTTTACCTGAAGGAAAATAAAACTTTAAACTTTTCTGGGAAAATCACATCACTTATCATTGACATCTTTTTGTTGTTGTTTTGTTTTACCTGCATGTCTTCATGGTCAAGCTTTGCATGCAGTGAACTCAAAATTAGTACATGGAAATAAAAGACTAGCTAATCTTACTAATTGTAAGAATTTTAGAAAGGTCAGAGGAATGGAGCTTCTCCTGTGCCCCCTTTTTTTTTCAACATCGTCCTATATCAACCATTTTGTAAAGTTTATTAATCATCTGGATTTTTTAAAATTCAGTTTGTATTTTACAATTTCTTCTCCATCACCTGCAGTTTAAGTTTAAATTGCTTTTCAAAATGCCCTGTGACCTTGTAAGTATCCTATTATTAGTCTTAGTTTCTTACAAGCACCTATTATTTCTAGAAAATCTAATGAAAGACCCCAGCTCTTCTAGTTCTCACATGTTTTTTTTGTTTTTCATTAGTAGAAAAACATAACTTGATAATCATAGAGTTGGGAAAGCTCTAAGGGATCATTCAATCCTTGATTTAACAAAAGCTCCTGCAAAGTTGTGAAATTTGCACGACATATTAGTGCCAGAGCTGGAGGAAGGACCCAGGTTCCGTGACTGAGTTTATACTCAAAGTCAAGCTGCCATCTAGGTTGGTTTACTTCCGGTTCATCCTAAGGTAGCCCCTTGAGATCCTACCCCTAGCAGGAGGTGGTTAACCGATGTTCCCACCCTTGGCAGGCTCTCTAGTCCAACTTTTTACGTTCAGCTACACAAGGCTTATAGATTTCTTCCAGATTGGCCAATGCCCAAGGGCAATGCCCCAGGACAAAATGTCCTGAATGCTACACTCTTTTAGGATTTCAGTCTTCTTTGAATGTCAGCCTGGTAATTCCTCATAACCTTGTGGGCAATTTGATTCTTTTTAAAAAGACATTTTAAAATATATTTTGACTTCTAATCAGGACAGGATAGCGTGGTCCTGCTTTTCCTTGTTCCTCCACACTAAGCATAATTATAGAGCCTGGAAATGGTGCAAGAGACTCTGAAGGTTGGTAATAAGGCTGCGAGCTGATTAGGGAACCGGGGGCTGGAAAAACAGCACAGCGGCAGGGCTTCACGTGCTTCCCACCTAACGGAAGGAGGCCACACAGAGCCGGCATTTCTTAACCCCCGCCTACCAAGACAGCAGCCCAGGGAGGTTTATTCCTCCCCTAGATCAAAGAATCTCTGGTAACATCAGGGTAACCCGTGTCATCAGCAAGGGGAATTACCATAACCCTCCAACGAGGAATATTGATTGGGAGTCCCATTAAAGAGCAGCCAAGAGGAGCATTATCCTTCCCACCACTGAAACACTCTTCCACTGAGAGACATAGAGGTGGACAAAAAATCTGCAAAAGAGACCAAGCTACAGCAGACAATCTGGGGAACCTCTTTGTTCCCATGGCCTGAGACTCTCCTGCTCTACCCAGAGACTTTGCAACGGGCAAGGCGCACCAATAAAGGAATCCCACTACACCATTCCCCTACCAAGAGATACCTGACAGCTGGCCCGGGGAAAACCCTTCTGCTTTCCTCAGGCAAGACCAGCAGAGACAAGTGGGAATTCCAGGAGCACCACAATCCAAGCAGACCGTAATCCAATAGCACCCCAAAGGCTGTGAAAATTAAGCTGCCATTGGAATCACAGCCCACAAAAGTAGGACAAGATCTACATGCTAAACCTAAACAGTGTGACTTTCTGCTAAAATAAAAAATGTAAAGAGAACTCATCATCTTATTACATAATATATAAGATATCCAGGATACAACTGAAAATTACCTGCTATACCTAAAACCAAGAAAATCACAATTACAATGAGAAAAAAACAATTGACACCAGCACCAAAATGATTCATATGTTGGGAAAACTGATAGGACTGAAAGGAAAAACAGATAAATCCCAATTTAATTGGGATTCAACACCCTCCTCTCAATAACTTCTAGAATATCTAGACAGAGAATCAGAAAGAATATAGAAGATCTCTACAACACAATCAACAACAGGATCTAGTAACATACAGAGAGTACTCGATCAAACAACAGCATAACTGACAAGAATACACACCAGGGTAAACATTTTTCTCAAGTACTTATAAAATATTCACCACCATAGGTCCATTCACCATATCCTGGGTCATAAAACAAACCTCAACAAATTTAAAAGAATTGAAATCATACCAATTGTGTTTTCTGACCACATGGGAGTCAAACTTGAAATCAACAACTGAAAGACAACAGGAAAATCTCTAAACCCATGGAAACTAAACAACACATTTAAAAATAGTCCCTGGGTCAAAAGGAAAGTCTCAAAGGAAAAATTTAAAACTACGTAGAATTTAATGAAAATGAAAACACAATATATAATATCAAAATATAAGGGATGAATCTAAAGCAGTACTGAGAGGGAAGTTTATAGCACTAACGGCTTACATAAAATGAGGAAAAGTCTTAAATCAACAACCTTAGTTCATACCTCAGGGGACTAGAAAAGAAGAGCAAGTTAAAGAAAGCAAAGGAAGAAAATAGTAAAGATAACTATAGAAACCAATGAAATTGAAATTAGAAAAACAGTAGAGAAAATTAATAAAAATCTACTACTTTAAAAGAATTAGTAACATTGATAAACCTATAGCAAGACTGACAAAAATAAAAACAGCCAAAATCACAATATCAGAAATGAAATAGAGGCTATCCATGCTGATATTAAAAAGGTAATAGAGAACTATTAGGAACAAGTTTACCTCATAAATCAACAACTTAAATTAAAAATGTAATACCATTACATTCACTCCGAACAAAATAAAATACTTAGATATAAACTTAACAAAATGGGTTCAGGATCCTGAAAATTACCAAATACTGACAAAATAAATCAAAGAAGCCTTCAAATCAAAGAAATTTTCAATAAATAAAGAGAAATACCGTGTGCAAAAGTTGGAAGACCACATAGTAAAAGGGCCAACTCCCCAAATGTACCAACTTGGATGGATCTCCAGGGAATTATGCTGTGTGGAAAAACCAATGCTAAAGAGTTACATACTGTAAAATTCCATTTACATACTATTTTTTAAATGACAAAATTTGAAATGGAAGGTGATTATAAAATGGCAACACAAGAGATTCTTATGGTATTGGGACTATTTATTATATTAGCTGTGGTTGCCATAACAAAATACCAAATATGGGGTGGCTTCAACAACAGACATTTATTTCTCACAGTTCCAGGAGGCTGGATAGTCCAAGATTAAGGTTCCAGCAGATTTGTTTCCTGGTGAGGGCTCTCTTATTGGCTTGCAGACAGCTGCTTTCTCTTTGTACCTTTACATGGCCCCATGGGCATTAACTCCCTATATTTCTTGAAAAGTGCATGCACAAGTGCCAAGTGTGATCTCAGAAGCACTCAACGCTTTAGTGTTTAGGCCAGTCATGTCTGAACTGAAGAAAGAGGCTAAGCATTGTCAGGTTGCATCTGTGGGAAGCTAGTCAAAGCCAAAACACAACTGGAGCAAGAGTATATTGACTGCATTTGAGGGTATGCAAGAGAAGTCTAATACACCCACACAGGTATGGATTCTTGATTTTAACAAAGGTAATTAATTCTGTTTATCTAGTTTTAAATCCTTGTGTCGATACCATACTCTCTTATTACATTTTTAGAATTATTCTTGACACCGGACAGAGTATGTCCTACCATTTTATTTTTTTCAAAATTGTCTTGGCTCTTCACACTTCTACATAAATTTTAGAGTTGGCTTCCACAGTTCCATAAAAAAAAACAAA